TCCGCCACCCCGGATGCTGGCCCCCAAGCGTCCGGCCCGTCCCTTTGCTGACACCGAGCCCCAGCCGGACCAGGACGCTGAGGCCCCCTGCACCCTGTGCGCGCGCGCGCTTCAGGTGAGAGGCTCACCTGGGCTCCAGATTGGGGCAGGTCTAGAGTTCAGACGACTGAGGACCAGGCTGTCTATTGGAGGGTCGCACAGCCCACCCACAGCCTTTGCCCGCCTTGCTTCCATCTCTAAAATGGGGACCATAGTACTTGCGGCCATTCCTGCCCCGGACCTTTGCCCTTCTTTCCCTGGAAAGTTCTTCCCTAGACCTTTGGTCTGGATGAAATGCCACCTCTTTTCCATGAGGTCTTCCTTGGCTCTCTCTCTCAAATTGCAACTTTCTTGGTACTGCTTTTCTTTTTTAAAAATATGTTTTTATTGATTTTAGAGAGGAAGGGAGAGGGAGAAACATTGATAGGCTGCTTCCTGCACGCCCCCTAGTGGGAATCAACCTGGTAACCCAGGCATGTGCCATGACCAGAATCCAAACAGCAGCCTCTGGGTGCATGGGACAATGCTCAATCAACAGAGTCACACCATCAGGGCTCCTTTTTTTTTTTTTTTAAAGGCTTAACACTTATTGTCTAACATCATGTGCAGTTGACTCTTGAACAATATGAGGATTAGGGGTGCTGAACCCATGCAGTCAAAAAGCCACATATAACTTTTTACTTCCCCCAACAGCCCCCCTTCGGTATCCATTGGGGATTGGTTCCAGGACCCTCCTACCTCCTTGGACTTTCAAGTCCCTTATATAAGATGATATAGAACAGTGCATATAGTCAGCCCTCTACATCTGTGGATTCCCAGCCGTGGATCAAAATACTGTTTTTAAATCTGTGGTTGGTTGAATCTGCAGATGCAAAACCCAGGGGTATGGAGGGCCCACTGTGTATTGGGGGGAAAAATCTGTGTGTAAATGGACCACCCTGTTCAAACCTGTGTTCTTCAGGGGTCAACTATTATTTTATTTTATTATCAGTCTCACACCCCTCCCCTCCATACTACACTCCACAAGGGTAGTTCTTATTTAGTACTGTAGAAGGATGTGATACAGAGCAGGTGGCAAATAAATATTTAGTATATTAACTGAGATGACAGGTCTGACTTTACTCACATTAAATGTAAGTAAACTGCATACCTTACATGCCACTAAATTAGGGGAATAATTTCACGGTTCGAACATCATAGAGTGCACTTACACACACCTAGATGGTGTAGCCTACTACACATCTAGGCTATTTGCTAGACCTCCATCACATATGTGGGTCCTTGACCAAATTGTTGATTCGGCACGTGACTGTACTTGCCACTCAGAGATTAGCCATGGAGATCACTTAGCCTGTAAGGAACTCTAGGTCTAGCTGCAGTGGCCGTGTTGTTGTAGAATCACTGCTAATACTCAGAGAAAATTGGCCAGCTTAGTCCCTGTGAGCAAGCATTATAACTCCTCCATACCTGTTTCCTCATCTATAATATTCAAATAAGAGTAGTATGTGCCTCATAGGTGATGTAAAGCCCCTGGAACAGTGTCTGTTCCATAGAAATTCTTTGAGTGTTAGTTACATCACTACTCCCCATTTTCTCCCTTCCCTGCCTGCCCCCTCGGACAGGATGAAGAAGGCCCCCTGTGTTGCCCCCACCCTGGCTGCTCCCTAAGGGCCCACATGACCTGCCTGGCAGACGAGTTCCTGCAGGAGGAGCCCGGGCAGCTTCTGCCCCTAGAGGGCCGATGCCCTGGGTAAGTCCAGCATCACTCCCCCAGCCTGGTTTACCTCTGTGAAGACACTGCCTAGGCCCAGGGCATCTGAGTCCTCATCTGGCACCCAGGGCCTAGGCTGAAGGAGGCTTGTGATCTGACTCTCTGTCTCCTACCAACTGCACCCTTGGCAGCTGCAAGAACTCACTGCTGTGGGGAGACCTGATCCGGCTGTGCCGGATGGGCTCCGAGGAGGAAGAGGAGAACTTGGAATTAGAAGAGGTGAGAGGTGTTTTGGACCCTGCCCCAGCCTATCCCCTGGGCTGCCTCTGACCACCCTTCTTGTCTCCACAGGAACACTGGACAGACATGCTAGAGATCTGACCCTCAGCACCCCCAGCCCTCTACCCATTCCTTATCCGTGCCACTGCCTTCGGGTCTCGGCAATTTTTACTTGAGTACAATAAAAAGTCTGAGTTAAGGGCATCTTCTGGTATTTGCTGGGGTATGTGTGGAGGTAGGAGGAAGCCTAAAGCCTCAGGCCGAGGCTTTAGGCCTGGGCCAGGGCACCCCCAGCTCGCTGCCGCCGCTGAGGAAGATCACTGGCTGGCTCCTCCCCGGCCCTAGCCTAAAGCCTCTGGCCAAGGTTTTAGGCCTGCGCCGGGGCACCCCCAGCTCCCACCGCAGCTGATCGCTGGCTGGCTCCTCCCCGGCCCTAGCCTAAAGCCTCTGGCTGAGGCTTTAGGCCTGGGCCAGGGCACCCCAGCTCCCCTTCGCCGCCGCCATCTATGATTGCTGGCTGGTTCCACCCCGGTTCCCCCCCGCCATCGCCGCCATCAACCATCCCTGGCTCAACTTTAAAAAAATACATTTCTATTGATTTCACAGAAAGAAAGGAAAGAGAGAAACAGCAATGATGAGAGAGAATGACTGATGGGCTGCCTCCTGCAGGGCCCCTACTGGGGATTGAGCCCACAACCCAGGCATGTGCCCTGAATGGGAATCGAACCCGGACCTGGTTCTTGGGTTGACGCTGAGCCACACCGGCTGGGCTGAGGTCACATTCTTGATGGCCTGGAGACTCACACCCTGACTAAGACCTCACCTGCCTCCAGTGCCCAGCTGGACTTTGGACTTTAATCCAAACAGTACCCACATCACTCCAGCCTGGGCTTCCTGGGGCCTGTGGGCTGCCCCAGGCCTGTGGGCTGCCCCTGACCTTAACCTTTGGTCCTCAGACTGGCCTGGGGCCACCTTTCCCCTCCACTCCTCTGTCCTCTGGAGATCGCGTTTATTAGAAAAAGCTGTTGGCTCCTACAGCTGGAGTTTGGAGTGCAAGCCAGAAGCCGGGATTACAGCTCAAAATACCAAAATATTAGGCCCTTTTGTGTTGCTACAGTCTTTTATTTTCTACACACTGAACTCACATGTTGGGTTTTCAGGCCAGTCTAATCTTGGCTTCAGCTGGGGTGCTAATGAGGGTAGCAGAGAGGGGCCCTCCCACCCCAAACCCCATCCCAAACCCCACCCATTCCTGGAGGACAGACAAGGCCCAGCGCTGGCTCCAAATCCCTCCCACTTTTGACTTATAAAACTTGCAGCTCTCTGCAGTTCTGCACTCACCTACGTGACGGCACAACAGAGCGCCACAAGGCCAAGGTCTGGAGAGGTCAGGTGAGTGCTAGGATAGGGTGGGCTGGGCCAGACCTCCCTCACTCTGCACTGTTTGCTCCCACTGCTTGATCTCTCCATTCCCGCCTCTACTGACCCTGCCCTTTCCCTGAAATCCCAGCTCAATCCGACGCTGCCCTTTCCCCATGGAAATCCCAGCTCAGTCTGATACCATCTGCAGTCTGGCCTGGAACCCGTTCCTCTTTCCATTTCCACTGGGGCATGTTTTGCTCATCACACCAGAATGGCTCCCAAAACAAGCTGTTGCTCAATTAGCTGTGTGTGCCAGGCCAGCACAGCCAAGGGTTCGGTGAGCCTGAGGGGGGGGCGGCAAAGGATTAAAGAAAAGACAGACGGAATAAGCTGGGTCTAGGTCAGGGGTGGGCAAACTTTTTGACTCGAGGGCCACAATGGGTTCTTAAACTGGACCGGAGGGCCGGAACAAAAGCATGGGTGGAGTGTTTGTGTGAACTAATATAAATTCAAAGTAAACATCATTACATAAAAGGGTACGGTCTTTTTTTTTTTTTAGTTTTCTTCATTTCAAACGGGCCGTAGTTTGCCCATGGCTGGTCTAGGTGGATCTCCTGTGCCTGGCTGAGGCCACATAGAGAGATCCAGATAGCCAGAGGTAAACAAGGTAGTGGTCTCCATAGTTACAATGTTCTTGTGAGTTTCACTTGTTTTGACAGCACTTGCTACACTTCCTGCAGCCCATTAGCCACCCAGATAGGATCTAGGGAGCATCATAAAGTCAAGCTTAATTATGCTAAGAGGGCTGTGCCCTCTAAGCTGGGACTTGTTTGTGGCTTTGCTAATAGGTCAGTCTGAGGCTTAACCCTATAGCCGCTCCCTACATCTCACCCTTATTTATTTTTAAGCTACTATAATGAAAAACTTAAACATCAAGAACAAAACTCTGGCTATTAAAACAATAACAAAACAATGCCAATGCAAAACCCAAACTACAGACATTTAACATTTTAAAACTTAAACATCAAGAACAAAGCTCTGGCTATTAACAAAATAATGCCAATGCAGCACAGCAATAATAAAGAAATCAAACTACAGTAACATTTTTCTACTAAATGAAAGTTTCTTTTGTTGATTTACTCAGAGTCCTTGGACTTGGCTGTGCAAGACTGGGAGCTAACGAATGCCATCATAGCCAGAAACATGGTTAAGGGAGTAGCTTCCACTTCTTGCTTTTCTACCATCTGCTGGGCCTCAGTCCTTAACTTCTTCAGCTGACCCCATGTTGGCATCTCGATCCCTTGCATAGTCTTCGTCATCTTCCTTTCTGTATTGCTGTCATCGGGGCAGCTCTCAGTCTTTTGAACGATTGGACAAGGAGCTTCTCTGGGTCCATTGTGGTGACGCATGTAATGCTCTGGTACCCAAATTGGCTGCACTGCTCCTTCTGGAAGATACAAAACACAACCTCTTCCCCACAGCATTACTAGATCTGGTAAAACTCTTGTCTGGTTTGTGTATCCTTCCACCAGGCTAACTCAGCAGAGGCTATTGTACAGGAGGCCCGATGCCTTTTGGCCACTGTACAACTCTGCATTGTAATTCAAAAAATTTAACACATAACATTCTTCTCCCCCTTTTTTTGTTTTTATAGTTGCATTTTAAGAGTAGGATTGGCTCTTTCTGCTACTGCCTGAGTCCTGATCTATCACCCCAGGAAGAACTTGCCAATCCTGTGCTTCCCAGGGTGGCATGATAACAGTTTACTGAGCCAGCTGGAAAGGCTGCAGTGGGGTTAAGGATAAGACCCCTACTGTTTGGTAGGGCCGGGGCTGGCCCTGCTTGAAGTTTCCCTGCCTAGGGGGTGATTGAGTTATCATCAACATCAGTCTTGGAGCGGCATTCATTTGCCCAATGCTTTCCTCCTGCATCTTGGACATAGTCCAGGCTGCCTGTTTTCACTCCCTGTAGCCTGTTGACTTCCATTTCTAGCATTACAGTTTTTAGCAAAATGCCCTTGTTTACCACAGTTAAAGCATCCCCCTTTCCTTTTCTGCTGACCAGTGAGTAACATCTCCTTGAGGCAGCTCCTTGAACGTAGGCTGGTCCAATGTTAGCACAGACATGAATATAATACTTCCACAGTAAGTAGTCTCCAGGTGAGAGACAAGCCTTTGCGAAAATATTAAGCCTCTGGTACCCTTCCCCTCTCTGTCTTAGTTCCCCTGCCACATTCATCCATTCCCTTTCAGGAGTGGGCTCTAGGGAGTCCTGAATCAGGGACCACAGACTGAAAGTAGAAAGAGGAATTTTCCCGGAACCTTCAACTATATAACGATCTCTGAGTTGTTTTCCTGCCTTCTCCCATTTCTCTACATTTACCTTTCCTTCCTCAGGAAACCATGGGCAGGTTTTACTTAGAAAATCCAACAAATCGAAAAGCTGTTGATACCTCACAGAACAGCCCCGTGCTTGGAGCATAACCTTAAGCATGGATACGTATAAATCCTTTTCCTGTGATCCTGAATTTCCCATGTTTGACACCTAGTTATGACTAAACTTCTCTCCTTACCTTCCTTCTTGTTTTCTGCACGTGCTTCACTGGAGCGTCCTTTCACCTGACAACTGTAGTTCCCCTGAACTCAGGCTCCCCATTGGGCGCCACATGTGCTGGGCCAGCACAGCCAAGGGTTCGGTGAGCCTGAAGCGGGGCAGCTAGGGATTAAAGAAAAGACAGACAAATGGAATAAACTGGGTGTAGGTGGATCTCCTGTGCCTGGCTGAGGCCACACAGAGAGATCCAGAGGGCAAGCTGAGCCTTTATTTTATAGCCAGAGGTAAACAAGGTAGTGGTCTGTATAGTTACAATGTTCTTGTGAGTTTCACTTGTTTTGGCAGCACTTGCTCCACATCCTGCAGCCCATTACCCAGATAGGATCTAGGGAGCATCATAAAGTCAAGCTTAATTATGCTAAGAGGGCTGTGCCCTCTAAGCTGGGACTTGGTGTGGCTTTGCCAACAGGTCAGTCCAAGGCTTAACCCTATAGCTGTGCCCTACAGCTGTGTTTCTCTCTGAGCCAAGATGGAGTGTGGCTGAGCAAGTTGGGTCACAGGCCCAGCTGGCTTTGGGGAGGTTTCTGTATGTGAGGGCTTAGGGAGCTCAGGGAGGGAAGGATGGGGAGGAGCCCACTGGGATCAGATCCAGAGCTGCAGCAGCAAGTACTGAAAGAAAACACGTGGCAGGCCCCAGAGTAGGAGTTTTCTCCAGTGCACACTGGAAGCTCCTGGTCAGCTTCCAAAACCCAGGCACCTGGGTCCCACCAGAGCAATTTAATTGCCTTGGGGTGTGGCCCAGGCACTGGGATTTTAAAATAAATATTTTTAAATTGATTTCAGAGAGAGGACAGAGAGGGAGAGAGAGAAACATCAATGATGAGAGAATCATTGACTGCCTCCTGCATGCCCCCTATTGTGGATCGAGCTGGCAACCCAGGCATGTACCTTGACGGGGAATGGAACCTTGACCTCCTGGTTCATGGGTAGATGCTCAACCAGTGAGCCACTCTAGCTGGGCAGGCATTGGGATTTTTAAAAGTTCTGCGGGTAAATCCAAGATGCCTCCAGAGTTGTGGCCCCACTGTGTTAGATCCGGCCGGAATCCAGCCCAGCACTCACTGGCTCTGAGTGTAGGCAAGTTGCTCAGCCTGTTTCCTTACCTTAAAGCAATTAAACAGAAGACATTGTTGTGATGTTGTTAAGGGAGGTCGGCCCCACTCCGGACCCTGACTCGGCAGCATGGAGCTGGTCCAGGACACCTCCCGCCCGCCACTGAAGTATGTGAAGGGGGTGCCTCTCATCAAGTACTTTGCAGAGGCAATTGGGCCACTGCAGAGCTTACAACCCAGGCCCGATGACCTGCTCATCAGCACCTACCCCAAATCTGGTAGGTGATGAGGACCACCCACCCCTCTCCTGGGCTGCAGTCCCCACCTCGGGCCAGCAGGGGTGTGCCCTCAGCCCCGCTTACCTCCCATTTTCCTCTCCAGGCACCACCTGGGTGAGTGAGATTCTGGACATGATCTACCAGGATGGCGACTTGGAGAAGTGTCAGAGGGCTCCCATCTTAACCCGGGTGCCCTTCCTTGAGTTCAAGGGTCCAGGGTGTCCCACAGGTGTGTGGTGGGGTGCTGGAGGCCAGTGAGGTGGAGGGAGGGAGGACCCGGGCTCCAGCTCACTGGACCTTTCCTATCCATGGCTTAGGCATGGAGGTTCTGAAAGATACGCCAGCCCCACGGCTCCTCAAGACACACTTGCCCCTGGCTCTGCTCCCACAGGCCCTGCTGGACCAGAAGATTAAGGTGAGTGGCAATGGAAGCTACAGAAAAAGGCAGCTGGGGCCAACCCAGCTTTGGCCCCATCTTCTAGGAAGGTCTCATCTTAAACGGGGAGAAGTCCTCAACCTCATGCTCCGGTGGGTCAGATGGCCAGTGACAGACTTTGCAGGGCCTCGGTGCTCACAGGCCTGTGGAGGAGGGGCTGTTGGGAATTCTGCACGCCTTGTTCCAAATCGATACAGTGGCATTGAGAAGATTGGATGAGTATAAAATACAGTTCCTGGAACCAGCCAGGACTCTGGCATCAGAGCAGGCTTCAAGTCCCAGCTCAGTCACACCCAAGTCAGCCTCTAAGCCTGTTTCCCTCTTGGCCAGACCAAGAGAGAACCTCCCTTGCAGGGAGGCTGTGAAGGGTGGAATGTGATGCTTAAAGAACCTCTAGTGCCTGCTGTGCTGTGCTGTGCGGTGACGGTGCGGTGCGGGGTGGGGTGTGTCTTCTGCCTCTCCAGGTGATCTATGTTGCCCGGAACGCCAAGGATGTGGCTGTCTCCTATTACCACTTTTACCGCATGGCCAAGGTGTACCCTGAGCCCGGCACCTGGGACAGCTTCCTGGAGAAGTTCATGGCTGGGGAAGGTGGGGCTGACTCTGGATGAAGGAGGGGGTGAGCTGAGGGGCAGCCAGCTGGAACGAATACCAACCTCTGTCCGTGCCCCCTGCCCTTTTCCCCAGTGTCCTATGGGTCCTGGTACCAGCACGTGCGGGAGTGGTGGGAGCTGAGGCACACCCACCCTGTTCTCTACCTCTTCTACGAGGACATGCAGGAGGTGAGACACCGCTACAACTTCCCTGCACATGGGGCGAGTCCCAAGACCTTCTAAGCCCCGATTCCCTATGGCAGACCCTACACGGGTCCTAGACCCACCTCACCTTCCCTGCCCCTTGGGCAGCACACTCCGTAGAGCTCTTATCTCCTAGCACCTGAGTCAGTGCCAAGTGCAGTCACTGATCACCCATTTACTGCTACTGCTTCTCCCTGGGCCCAGTTATGACAGAGGGCTGTCCGTGCCCTCACCCTAAGGAGCCAGATACAGCTTCTTAACAGATCACAGGGCAGAAGGCAATTAATTTTGCCCCAGGAGTGCCAGAGTACAAAGGACCAGAGTCATGGAGCAGGGTCGGAAGTGGCCATGAGGTTAGGGTGGGGCCTCCCTTTTGTTTGTTCAATGCACAACCCAAGCCTCCACTGAAGAGCCCCCCTGCTGCTGCAGAACCCCAAAAGGGAGATTCGGAAGATTCTGGAGTTCGTGGGCCGCACCCTGTCAGAGGAGACCGTGGATCACATTGTGTGGCACACGTCATTCAAGGAGATGAAGAAGAACCCCATGGCCAACTACAGCACCTTACCCGTGGAGATCATGGACCACAACATTTCCGCCTTCATGCGGAAAGGTGAGTGCCTACCAGGAGGGGCGCTGGGGAGGCGAGGGCGGGAGCAGCGGCTAGAGCTGGCCCTGAGCCACTTGGGGCCTCTGCTTTGGCCAGGACCTCTAGCCTCACTCCTTCCCTCCCCACCTCCCTCCCCAGGCATCACGGGGGACTGGAAAACCATGTTCACTGTGGCCCAGAACGAGCGCTTTGATGCCCACTACGCTGAGAAGATGGCAGGCTGCAACCTCAAGTTCCACACAGAGCTGTGAGTGGTGTTCATGGGACCGCTCCCCAGGGAGTGTGTGCGAGTGGCCCGACAGGGGCCTCAAGAATAAAGTACAGCTTGTGTTGCATGGAGTGTGCCTATTGGAAGAAAAGCAGACCTGAGCTGAGAGAAAGAGTAACTGCCCACTGGGACCAAATGAGGCCCCAGCTCCCCAACTTGCCCTATGTGGGGAGGGGTAAGAACTCAGGAGACATGGCAAAGGGGAAGAACATTTATTTCTTCACATAATGTCTTGTTGCATGCCCCCGTGAGGTGGCAGGAGGCTGCCAGCCTGCATCACTTTTTCTTGGGCTCCTTACAAGCCACCACGTACCTCTGGGCCACATTGAGGGGAGGGGAGTAACCATCTGCATAGGAAGTGTCTTCAAACAGGACCGAATAGTCATCCTGGGGCTGCAGCAGGAGGCAGACAGGAGGCGCTGGTCAGAAAGCCCCAGGCCAGCGCCCCCCTTCCCCCAAGCCTAGACCGACAGGCACCTCTGGTGTGTGGGCTCCTAGCCTTTCCCGTCTCATCTTCACTCAAGAAGTCTAGATGTTTGAACCTGCTCCCTGCTACAGAGCTCCTCAGCCACCAAGTCCAAGGACGGGGGTGAATAGCAAGGGAAAGGACTCGCTAGCTACACAGGCGGCCACACGGAAGGGGCCCCTAGGTTAAGGGGAGCAAGGACAACTCAGAGGGCAGGAGGCAGGGGTCCTGGAGGAAGAGGGGAGCCCAGCCTTTAAACTGCCATCAGTGATGGGTGATTAGAGGGCAGGGGTCGGGGGTGAAGACTGGCCCTGAGCAAGGCTTCCATCTCGGGGCTCAGGCCCCCACCTCAATGCGAAAGCGAGGCTAGACTAGAGGACACACCGGGGCTTTCTAAGGCTCTGCAGGGCGCCAGCACTGCCTGGAGGACAGGCTGGAGGGGTTACAGCTCAGGACCCCGCCAACTCAAAGAGGTACAAGGACAAGAGGGAAGGAAAAGGGAAGGTGACCGACCCCATGACCTGTCTGGTCAGCGGGGTGGTCCTGGTGTCCGGGACGATCTCTCCCCCGGGGGCTGCCTTACCCGTTGTGGGGGGGTGTGGATCAGGGCACGGTAGAAGCAGGTGGTCTGGGGATACAGGGCCAGCACGAGCTGCTCCTTCTGGAATAAGGCTCCGGGTCCGGATGATGAGCCGCCGGCTCAGGGTGTCTCTCTTTGCCTCTTCATCAGTGTCATCGAACTCATATTTGTTGGTGGCATGGCTGTAACTGACCACCTCGGCCAGGATCCACTGCTCATCCCCATCCACGGCCTTGACCCGGGCAGCCACCTTGTCTCCAGGTTTGGCCACGTAGTCCCCAGAGGCCGGAATGGCCCCGCAGAGTGGGGGCGGCCTGCGGAGGGGATAACGTGTCAGTCCCAACCCCTCCCCTGCCAGCTCCCGCTCCCTGGGCCTGCCCTCACTTGTCACCAGGCTTCCCGATCCACAGCGGCAGGGTCATGGCCGACTGCTGCAGCAGGGTCATCAGCACCCCCCTGCGCATGGTCTTCCGCGGGGGCTCCGAGTCATTGTACAGGCCCGCGATCTTGGCCGCTGTGGGAAGGAAGTGAGCCCCTGAGGCACCAGGGATAGGGTGCCTGCCCCTGGCTCCCCACCTCTCGTCGAGTTAGCACCAAGGGTCCAGTGTGCTCCCTGGCCCTCCACTGGAGGCTCCTGCTGAGAGACCACCAGGCCACACTCACCTGGCCAGACGGGTTAGTGGATACGTTTGGGAAAGAACAGAAGAGGCCAAAAGGGGGATTCTGAGGCGCTGGTCGTGTCTCTTATCTGGGTGCTGGTTACATCCATTGGTTCAGTTAGTGAAAATTTTATGGAGCTGGGTGGATACTTACATGTATTTTCTATTAATATGTTATAATTAAGCAAAAAGTTCAAAGAGCTATCAAATGTGGACAGAGCCCTTACCTCCTCGGGCATGGCTCAATACACCCAGTCAACTTCAACCCAACTGGCAGTGTGACAATTTCATGGGTGAGGAGTCTGCCCCTGGGTTCATTGGACGGGCGAGAGAGAGGTGGGACAGCAGTCTGAAGCGATATGGAAGCCAGCACCCTGTGTAAGCCCCATCTGAAAGGCCGGCTTCAGGACATCCCGCTGTGGCTCTCCAATAACAGCCAGGCTCTCACCTCAGCAAGAAATGGGCCTGCGGGTAGCAGTGCCTGCCCCAGGCAGTAGAGGATGGAAACCAGGGGGGATTGGGGCAAATCAGCTTAGTGTGCAGAGGGAGAGCGGGGAGGCCTTGTCTCTGACCCTGGGACTGACCTCCATGCCCTTCCCAGTCCCAGGCTGCCCTGGTGCACCTGCCTGTCACAGCCCGTGGCCCAATCGACCACACCAGGCTGAGGCTACAGGCTCCCCGGCAGGAAGACATGACTGCTGCTTCCAGGAACCCTCACTCCACCTGGTCAAGGAACACCCAACTAACTTGTCGTCTCTAACTCACCGATCCGCCTCTCTTCCAACAGAGACTTGATTTCCGCAATCTTATCGAGGGCTTTCCGGAGGATGCTGAGGGTGGGAGGAGGGAAAGAAGAGGTCTGGATGAGGCACTAAGCATGGACTTCTTCTTCTGGTCAACAACGCAGACAAACCTTGGTGAAAACTATGAGCCCTACATAGGTGGCTTTAGTCTTAAAAGCATACAAATGATAAGACAACATAGGTGGCTTTAGTCTTAAAAGCATACAAAAGCTGATAAGACAGCCCGACTAGTGTGGCTCAGTGGTTGAGCATCGACCTATGAACCAGGAGATCATGGTTCGATTCCCGGTTAGGGCACATGCCTGGGTTGCAGGCTCGATCCCTGGTAGGGGGCATGCAGGAGGCAGTCGATCAATAACTCTCTCTCATAATTGATGTTTCTATCTCTCTCTCCCTCTCCCTTCTCTCTGACATCAATAAAAACATATTTAAAAAAAATTCTTTGCAGAACTTAGCAGAGCCTTTGATAATCTGCATTATGAATCTCTAGGAGAGGAATGTAACTCCGTGTCCTAAAGCAGCGGTAGCTAGCCTTTCAGACCTCACGGACCACCGGTTGGCGACCGCTGTTCTAAAGTTATTGCAGATCCACTAGAGATTTGAGGTAACAATGTTTTAAGATCGGTTACTATTTAAAAAGTAGTTTTCTGGAACTGAAACTTCTCCATCTCAGAACCATAAAAGCTTTACGTCATCTCCCAGGTAAAGCATGGTCCTATCCCGACAGGCAGCCAGCCCACCTGGCAGCAATGCGCAGGGAGGCCACCCCAAGAGGCCGCGCCGCCTGTGCCAGTGGAGGAAGGGATTCCTTCTGGCTGACATTCTGCTGGAATTCAGCCAAGAGCCCTGAGCCCCAACCTTCCTCCCCGTCACCCTCAGCGCCTCCCTGCTGACCAGGAGGAAGGGCCCTTTAAATACTCTAATACCGCTGCATACAGATTCAGTGTAATTATTTGATCAGGGTGACATTTTAAAAAGGCAAAAGGAGAAAATTATTTCCTTTTGGGTCTTCTTCTCTTGGAGTTGTGCTCACAAAGCTAGACACGAAGCAGCTAAGCTAGGGCACTATCCAGGTGAAACTCGCTGCCTCCCCACGCTCCTTGCCTCTGCCCATCTACGGCAGAAGGAACATGCAGGCCAGCTGCTCCCGGCCGCCCAGTGGAGCTGCATGGGGAGGTGCTGTGATAGGAGGACCATGGTCCTAAACGTCAGCTCCTCAGGCATGTGGCTTCTGTGCCAACACTAGGTGGTCTGTGTCAGTGGTGAGGAGGGCGAGCGGACACTCCTGAGCTGTGTCAAGACCAGAGCACTCCTCTGGTCAGCAACATGGACCAACAGCCATGTCACAGGTGCCCACCAGCAAGTGGTCTGCTGCCCAGGCCCCGGGCATCCATTCTCTCCTTCGGCCCTTGGAAAGCTAAACGACCTCCGCGTGCACTGGCTTACCCACTCCTAAAACTACCTTCCCTCGCTGGCACTCTGAGTGACAGGCTGAGTTACCCACTATCTCTACTCAAAGGGTGACCCACCACCCCATGCTGTTCACTGCACCCTTATGAGCTGCACCTGGAGAAATGCCCTTTGCACTAAGGTTAGTCAGTACCTTGGTCCCACCTGGGAACAGCCACCTGCCCTCCACTGGAATATGGAAAGTGAGATTTTTGAGCTTGCTGCCCTGTGACTCCTGCTGCCAGTGGGAGACCGCAAGGCCTCTTAAAAAAGAGATGATTGAGCCTGGCTGGCGTGGCTCAGTGGTTGAGCATTGACCTATGAACCAGGAGGTCATGGCTCCATTCCCAGTCAGGGCACATGCCCGGGTTGCAGGCTTGATCCCTGGTTAGGGGGCATGCAGGAGGCAGTCGATCAATAATTCTCATAATTGATGTTTCTATCTCTCCCTCTCCCTTCCTCTCTCTAAAAATCAATAAGAAAACATTAAAGAATAAGGACTTTGGGTTTAAATTTGGGCTCCCCCACTTACTAGTTGTGTCTTTTGGCAGATTACACAACCCTTTGGTATTTCAGTTTCCTCATGTGTTAAATGGGGGTAATCCCATTTTAGAGTTGCTCTGAGGGTTAAATGAGGTAAATATAGAAAGTGTTGTAACAGCACCTGGCAGAGTAAGGCCACATAAAGCTGTTATTGTTACTGTTACTACTACCATAGTAGAGAATGCACTTCCTAATGTGAGTAATGGCCAAAAGTTTGTAAAACACTAGTCTTAGGCACTTTATAAGCATTATCTCATTTATGTTGACAATTCTATAGGTAGTTATTATTCCTACTAGAGGCCCGGTGCACAAAAATTTGTGCACTCGGGGGTGGGGTGGGGGGGGGGTCCCTAAGGCCGGCCTGTGCCCTCTTGTAGTCTGGGACCCCTCGGGGGATGACCACTTGCTGGCTTAGGCCCACTACCTGGGGGTTTGGGCCTAAGCTGGCAATCAGACATCCCTCTGGCAGCCCGGGAGCCCTCGGGGGATGTCCACTTGCCATCGGGGAGCAGGCCTAAGCTGCAGTCGGACATCCTTAGCGCTGCTGAGGAGGCAGGAGAGGCTCCCACCACCACCGCTGTACTGGCAGCCATCAGCCTGGCTTGTGGCTGAGCAGAGCTCCCCCTGTGGGAGCGCACTGACCACCAGGGGACAGCTCCTGCATTGAGCATCTGCCCCCTGGTGGTCAGTGTATGTCATAGTGACCAGTCATTCCCAGTCGTTCTGCTGTTAGGGTCAATTTGCATATTACCCTTTTATTATATAGGATAGAGGCCTGGTGCACGGGTGGGGGCCGGCTGGTTTGCCCTGAAGGGTGTCCCGGATCAGGGTGGGGGTCCCCACTGGGGTGCCTGGCTCGCCTGGGTGAGGGGCTGATGGCCGTTTTCAGGCTGGCCTAGCTCCCTGGCGATGGAAGCTCCCAGCCTCTCCTTTTTTTTCTTTTTATTCTGGGATTTATTTACCTTCTATAATTGAAACTTTGTTGCCTTCAGTGGAGCTCAGAGCCCCGTGGCAGGCGGGAAGCTTGGCTTCCTGCTCGCTCCAGCTCCGAGGCCATGGCCGGCTGAAAGCAGGTATCTGGGGTTTATTTATCTTCTATAATT